AATTTGTTTTCGTGTTAACTTAAATTATAAACCAAAGCTAGTTAAGCTCTATATAAATAGTCCCACTTCGTGTCGCTCATGACAACATTAATAAAACAATCAATTTAAGTAAAAAAAAAAATATAATAATAATAATAACAGAATTAATTAACACCTTTGTCATGAGACAGCTACTTCCGTTAATTATTAGCACAAGCAAGCTATAAAAAAAAAAAAAAAAAACTTTAAATGTACTTAAAAATAGTATGAAAATATAAATACTATAAAATGCAAGCAGAACCTTTAAAAATTCAAGCGAGACAAGTTTTACGAATGAAAACAAAATCAAGTGGGCCTGATTGTTAAGCCAATTTATATTTATTTTATGCACGCGTTTTGCATGCCTAATTAATCGCTCTATATACTCTCAATTTTTTTTGGTCAAAAACAATTTGAAAGAAGAAGAAATTTGAAATTTTGTTTGGGCGTTTTTTATTTACTTTTTCGACTATTTCTTTTACATAGTTTGCCTATTTGTTTATAAATAATTTACATACATTTTTGTTGTATAATTTTTTCCATTCATGAATTGAATGATATATAAAATTGAAATATATAGAATTTTATATACCCTATAATATACGTTGAGTAAAGCAAGTATGAGTCGACACTGCTCAGCTAGTGAAGTAACATTATCGATTCTTATCGATAATAAGGAAAAACGATGAGTTACCGACGTAATATAGTATACACAAATATACATTTTAAGTTTCAAATCTTTAGTCCATATGTACAATATTATGCTCATATATTTTTTATTGAACTGCCCTTGCTACGCTACTCCCAGTCCAATAAGCTGAAGCTTATTTAAAACAAGTTAAAGTACTCTACTCCAACGTCTCGTGATAATAAAATTTGGACTGTGTGTTTCTTGATCGCTTCATTCATACGAACGGACAGGCGATAACGGACAGACGATAAGACGTTGCAAGTTTTATTTATATATTTTTCATAAATCCACTTTAATTTTTCTAGCTTTAAAGTTGTCAAGAATAGTGTAAAATTATTAAAATTGTATAAAATACATGGTATATAAATATATCATTTAACGTATTTAATTTCAGCTTAATATCAAAATTAACAACCTGCCCACTTTCACAACTAAAGCAGGGTATTAACTTTGTTAAACTTTTTTATCACGCTGCTAGCGAAGTTCAATTTAGCCAAGACAACAACCGCAACGGCAGCTTGCTTTGACTGTACTACGCAACCGATTGGAACGCATGTGAAATAGATTTTGTGGAATGTGGAAGCTATGAAAAAAGGGGGAGGCTGATAGCTTGTAGTAGGGCAACAAAATGTTGTACCAACAACTTGCCGCGTCAAGATACAGAACTTATGCGCGAGCCAGCAGGCACGCACGCTTCCATGGGCCGAGCCCAGCCCCCCAAAATAAAAAAAAAAACCAGATCCCGAGCTGCCGGTATACGTACACAAACACAGCCGAAAGCACACACACACACACATGAGTGTGTGTATACATTTGAAACGTAAATTATGCTCTTGAAAAAAAGCCAAAATTTCGAGGCAGCGGCGCGTCGTCGGAAATGGTATTCCAGCTACGAATTCAGTTGTAAGGCAGCTGCCTGTGGCAACGCACGCGTCGCATTTAGAGAGTACACAGAGCTCGCACGAATAAATCGGAATAAATATATACACATTGAACTATATATCTCTGGTCCATTTTCACTAAAGATTGGACGCTCTTCACAATGTCCGAGGAAGTGATCGCCAGGGGCAGCATCTTGGGCAGTAAGTGATAAACAGAAAAGACCTAAAAAACATGAAAAGAAAAGTGTTTGAACAAAATTCAGAGACAACTTGTGGCATATGTGAGAGTAGCTTGAATTACGCCAATGCAATAGCCGAGTGCATCAGGCAGTGCAAGTGCAACAAGTGGCAAGCAGAGACCGAGCACCATGGGGCGTCATGAGTCCTGATGAAAGCATCTCAAATACTTGTGCAATGCGTGTTTGACCTCAAAAGACGCCGAAAGGTCGTGCATATGTGTGCGTGTATTTCCGTGTAGATATGGTTGTGTGTATGTATGTGTATATATATATGTTTGCATGTGTGCTGGTGCGTGTGTGTTATCCTTTTAGCTCAATATTGGGCGGCTTTTTATAGAAGCAACCAAAATTTTATGAGCAAACCAAACCCAAAAGCAAAGAAAAGAAATTCAATTTATAGATATATAAATATATATGTACATATAAATGGAAACATTTACTATGAATGTGACTTCCCATTGACAGCTGGCCTGAAGGTCATTTGTATGTC